ATGAGGAAATTTCACCTCTGCATTTAACTCATCCATGCATTGAACACCACATACACACTAGTGAACACACCCACTAGGGCCCAGTGACTACACCTGCCCGGAGCGGTGGGGAGCCTTATCCATGGCACCTGGGGAGCAGTTGGGGGTTAGGCGTCTTACTCAAGGGCACTTCAGTCATGTACTGTCGGCTCAAGGGATCGAGCCGGCGACCTTCCGGTCACCAGGCTGGTTCCCTAACCTCCAACCCCCCTAAGTAATTTCATTTAAAGAACCTAAATCTTAATAAAAAGATAAACACAGGGGATGCAGATCTGCAAAAGCAGCCGGCAATTTAGGCCTCCAGAAATCCACACCACAGATGGGTTTCCTCCTTGGGATGCAGTATCCGGATGGAGGTGAAGGCAGAAGTAAAGTCATGTACACATCTGTTTATTGTTGACGGAAACATATGCAAAAGGTTTGAGGTCTCTTGTTGCTATGACTGACCAACTGGACAAACAGCATTGACACCAATCAGGAGACCATAAATTACTGAATTTAATGTTCTGATCTGAGATCACTGGATTGCACAAGACAGGGATAATAAGCATATACTTATTGTCAAAGAACACTGAAATGAAAACAAAAATCTTTTTGACCACTGTGAAGTGTGGTGGTCGATATCATATTTCAAGGCTGTCTTGTTGTAACTCTAACTACAGTTGACCTGTTTTGCCTTTAACCGCAGCCCAAAATATTCTGTTGGAAGAAGGGAGCATGTCTTAGCTTTTTTGCAATGATGCCATGATAATGTCTTTGTCTCCCCTGGCCTGAACATGTAAACACATGCAAAATGAGTACATATGCTGCCATATCACTGATACATCCATAAGCTAAAAGACAAACATGTCTTATAGCTAGTAGGCATGTAAATACATGCAAAACCTGTACTGCCCACTGGGCATAAACTCAATGTCACTAATACCTCCATGTGTATGGTTCGATTGGTTTAAAGAATCTAAAGCCTTTTTTACAAAATAAAAACGATAAATACATGCATCCCTATTAAAGTCACCCCTTGAAAGTATAACTGATGCATAAATTTCACATACTTTTCTTTTACCCCCACTGACACTCCTAATTGGTCATCCACATCTTTCTTTTCCATCTTTTTTTCTTCCTTTTCCTAAGTTCCCTTAGTAGTCCATCAGCATGCGGAAGATTAGAGAATCCACTAATGAAATGAGACAAAAGTGCTTTCACTTTCATTAATCAAACAACGGTAAAATTAAAAAAAAGCTACGAGCCTGTGTCACACACCTCCCGTTCTCATTCGGACTCTCATTCTGTTATGGACTCCACTTCCCAGAATCCTTCTGTCAGTCATGTGACTCCATCAGCCAATCACAAGGCCCCCAGCAGATCCCAGTCACCTGAATATTGATCACCATCACCTGTGTTTCCATGTATAAAAGCCTCTTGGGTTTGTCTTTTTGGCTTAGTCTACCTGTGTGTTTGCTTTTTAGTTACAACCCTCGCTTGTTTATCTGACTTCGCCTGTGTATTGTGGTGGGTTATTCTGGATGCTGACCTGGTCTGGTGTTAACCCTAATACTGCAGTTCATTCTCCTTTTAATAAACCTTACTGTTTATCTTTTACCCGCAAGTGTTTAATTCATCAACCCAGTATTAGAGCCTGAAAAAGTCTATATCAATTCAGAAGTTTAGAACAGCTGGAACTGTAGTAAATCTACCTGAAGGAGGATGCATGTTTCGCTTGTTAAAATGTGTCCATGGATCATGGTTGGAGACTGGCCGAAGATACCATTAGATATGATTAAATGCCATCTCCTCACCAACAGACTATTTAGAAGGCATATCACAAGAAAGCCTTTTCTTTTATCTAAACACAAACATAAACACATGAAGTAACTTTTTTGGAGTCACAGGTCAGGTGAGATAATAAATACAGCATTTTTTGGCAGTAAACATCCAAGAAAGAGAGTTATAAACAGGATTAAGGATCTAGGATGTTGTGGGCCTGAATTAAAAAAAAAAAAAGACCTAGGAACCTTGTTAAAATAGCTAATATCATGGATAACTGGGACCAATTAAATTAGAGACACTCATTCACAATCACTGCCATCCCTATTAAATATGCACTTTACTTAAATAGAACATTTCCAGCAATACAAAGTAGGTTAAAATCTCTTAACAAGCAGCACATTATGCCACGATGAAAAGATAGTACAGTAGAGAGAACTGTTTCCTCTTGTTCTTGTTATCTTAAAACACATTTTACATGAAGATCTTAAACCATTTAATGTAACAAATCTATAAAACCAAATAAGAATGGGGCAAATACTTTGTAGGGCACTGTATGAAAGGAATGGAGACCTACAAAAGCACCCAGCAATCCAGGCCTGTGAGGTATGGTGGTGGATGTCATATTTCAAGGCTGTATTATTGTAATTCTCACTAAAGTTTACCTGTTTTGCCGTCTGCCTCATTCGAACATTGATATTCTGTTGGAGGTAGTAAACTTACCTCAACTTTTTTCAAATGATGCCATGAAAACACCTTTGTCTCTACGGCCCTGAGCATGTAAACACATGCAAAATGAATACACATGTTGCCATGTTACTGATACATCCATATGAACAATATGTCATATAGCTCCTAGGCATGTAAACACATGCAAAACATACACTGTGCACTGGCCATAAACTCATGTGCCACTGATAGATCCTTCTGTATAAAGACAAACAACTTGTTTAATAATTCTTTTATGTATGTAATCCCAACATATAGACATACTAACAAAAGAAATCACTCCAAATCAACTATAATTGACAAGACAGAAGCTGCAGCTCGAGCAGCAGGTATGATATGAGAGCAATGAGAGTCTGTAAAGCTTAAAAACAGGCAAATTATATTGACAGTATACAATGCCGAGGTGTTGCTGGAAGAAGAGGAAAGCCAGCTCTATTGGCGAATTCCCTTATTTGATCGCTTCCATTTCCATTTTCCTCGCTTTCCCACCAATAGTGAAATGAACAGGCTTTGGTTGGAAGTGGACCGAGACTCGTGGGTTTTGCTGGACCAGTTGTGATCGTATCCCTTTCAGAAGCTTTGTCATCCAGCCTTGAAGTGCACTTTTTTGACTTTCTAATATAAATCCATAATGACAAACCCAACTCTGAATGTCTTCTGTGATTATTTGTCCCTTTTTTCCGAGTTGAAAAGAGTTGTTGTTGTTGTTGTTGTTTGTTGTTGTTGTTGTTGTTGTTGTTGTTAGCAGGGCTGATAACCATCAACTGATGCCTTGGATTGGGTCTGTCGACAATTCAGAGGCTGTGTTCCTGACTTGTCGATGGAATAATTCTACCCTTCTGAGCAAAATACGTCTCTAGCATACAATGTCTTCAGGATATTTATTCTTTTATGTACACTCTTAACAATGGTTCTTCAAGGGTACTTTAGTAAGGAAGATGGTTCTATAAAGAACCATAAACACTCAAAAACCCTCTACATGATTAAAGGGTTCTTTGCATCATGAAAGGGGTCTTAAGAATGTGCTGTACTCTTTTGGCTGCTATATAAAACCCTTTTTGAAAAGGGTTCTATAAACCTTATGAACGGGTACTTCTATTGTTATTTCTTCATCTGTTTTGGTGGCAGTTGGGGTGGTGGTCTATGGGTGGGTGGGGCACACAGCTACGTCACTGCCTGTGGTATATCACACCATACTTAGCTTTGAAGAAGAGAAACATAGGGAGGAAAAGTACAGGGAGATTCACTCAAAAGACGCCTGGAATATTCTTCAATAACTCTTGCTAGAACAAAGCAATCTGAATGAAACAATGTGCAATGTGCTCCTCAGTATATGGAACTTTGAACAAGCCAGGATGTCCCTGCATCGGATTGATGAGTTAGGCGCCTGACAGCCGTCATGGCGTTTAACCTTCCGGGTGCAGACCCCCGTAGCCCTTCATGTGTCTGAGAGAAAACAGAGATCACTTCCAGCATCGCATGTAATGCAGTCGATTACACATACGTCAAGATATGTAGCGTATTTTTTTGGTTCAGATTGCTTCATCACAACGGGAGTTACAGCAGAATATTCGGGGCCTCGTTCGAGTGAATCTGCCCTGTAGTATTGGTCCCCGTAGAGGGAGGTGGTGGTGTGGCCAAGGGATATTGGTCCTGGCGAAAAGAAAAAAGTCAGAGTAATATCTATGCAAAACTGCTACTGATACATACTCAAATGTTAGGAAATCAAACGGAACATGCAAATCAGCCACATATCTAATATCTCCACCAATTTTCCACCTGATCCTTCCACAATTTGGGCAGCCCGCATTCAAATGCTTTTCCATGCACATGGCCCACACTCAGTTTCTGCAATATTGCTCTGGTGCCTGATGCCAGTGCTTGTAAGCAGATGTTAAATGAGTAAGAAAATCTCCACTTATTACACAGTTAGGTTTGAAAAACAGTAGGTCTTCATACTCCAGGTTTGGCATAAAAAGAGCAGTGTGAAAAAGGTGATCAGAAGGTTATTTGGTTGCAGATGAAATGAGCCATTTCACCATTGACCTCATTTAATTTTATAGCAGCAGAAGCAGGCTGTGTTGCAAATGTCCCCATAAGAACATCTTTGTCTCTACTCACCTGGGCTTGTAAACGCATGCAAAATATGTGCACTTGCAATAAACTAGACTCGCTCACAGCTTTGTGTGGAAACAGTCAAACAACTTGTAGCATTGCTCCTGTTCGTCTTGACGTATGGCTGGATTAAAAGAAATTAAAATAACACGCCTTAGTTAGACTCCATAACACTAATAACTGACAAGGTCAGGATAGAAAACCAATGAAAATTTCCAGAATTTTTAAAAACAGAACAGTGTCATTCACCATGCGTTGATGGAAACTCATGCAAATTTTTTTTTATGACTTCCACAGTACCGAAACTGCAGATGACATCACTTTATTGGAAATGACAGAGATAGGAGGGATTGCCGAGAACAGAGATATGAAGAGAGGACAGAGCGATGCAAGAAACTAAAGGTGAGGAGAGGCAGTGAGGAGTGAGAACAGACATAAAGAAAAAAAAAAAAGGACTGGAACAACAAACACTCTGGAAGGACTGACGTCCACTAACTCAACATTTATCCAAGGTAGAAACCTTTAATTACAACGACTTTCTTGGTCACGCTTTACTTGGATGGTCCCCTATAGATGATCTACAGACACTTTCTGGTGGTACTCAATTGATTATCAACCCCATTATGGTTAGGGTCAGATTTAGGAGTATGGGTTGTTTTTGCATTGAGTGTCAAGTTTAAGGGTAAAGATAGATTTAATTTAATGTCACACTCAACTTCAAATTCAGGTGCATGTAATAAATATTTAGTTGAATTCTGAGAATTCACAAACCAGTAGTGGACCACCCAAATAAACTATTACTGCTTTCTTAAATATGATCTGCCAATATTTAAACATTCTCTTTTTTCTGTCAGATATGAATCAGAAATTGGTATCTGTCATGCAACTTTTATCAGGCAAGTGGGTTTATGCACTTTATTGTTTGTGTCCTTTGTGTTTAACCCCTTCAGTGGTCACGAGAGGCGAGTCGGCTCAGAGATCCATTCCTAACTTTTCTACACAATTCAATTGTTGAGAAACAAAGATATCTAGAGTGGTTTGATGTAAAATGGTTAATTGTAGAGAAACGTATTGACTGAAGTTTCTAATTGCTCAGTTTAACTTTATCACATGAAATATGAATAGAAATACATTTCAGTTAAATCTTACAAAGATTTGAAAAAAAAATGTTTATATGTTGAGATTTAGACTTTTGTTAATATATTGAATGATAGATTAAATGGATAAACAATAAAGAACAGCCTGTTTTGCTCAGTGTTTGTGGAGGGAACTATATATGGTGACTCTTTGTTCACTGTAGCAGGCTTAGTTGTAACACTTTCAGACTGTTAACCCTTAGAAACCTAAAGTTTTGGGGATTGTTTTTGGTATTTTTTGGCAATTATAAAGTATCTACGTGTGTCAGTCTAACATGCCATATGTTGTTATATTCAGGATGTAACGAGCCAACAAGAGTCAGACGCTTGCGGTTTACTGTTAGAATCAGAATCCAAGTTCGTAGTCACAAAACAGGCAGGGGTCAATTCCAAAATGAGCAGTAAATTCAAACAGATGATCATCACCAAGGGCAAACAATCCAAGAGGGTTAAGCAAAATGGCAGTGTCAAGGAAAACAGGCAAAAAGGTCAAAAACAGGAGTCAAACCAGAAAGGCAAACAGTCCAAAGGGGAAAGGCAAAAGGCAGAGTCAAAAAACGGAAAGCAATGGTCATAAACAGTATACAGGCAAATAGTAGAACACTCAGCAGATCACAAAAGATACAATACCTCGCAATTAGCTATGGCTAAAGCCCGGGCTTATAAACTAAACTAAGAAGATCATGTGACATGAGACACAGGTGAAGAGAATCAGTATTCAGGAGATCTAGAGCGCTGATTGGTGCGTACGGAGAGGTCAGGAGTCATGTGATCTCCCAGAGGATTCTGGGAGATGTAGTCTGGGTTCGTCTTGGAGCTTGACGGATGCGTGACACAGGAGAACCTGGGCTACTCAGATATGCCATTGTTTGATGTAAATGCTGACCAAAATTTTATATCTTTTTATGAATTTGGGTCATTTCTGATCTTAAATTTACCTGCTAAATTTTGTATTTTTATTAAAGAGATCTTGAAAACAAGTGCAGTTGTAATTACCCTTTCAGGAATTGTTAGTCTGGAGTGTCTGTGTTGAAGGTGCAATACTTTTGATGGTGATTCATTCTGTTGGTTATTAGAGTGAAAATAAACTATTAGCATAAGATGGACTTTTTTTATTGATTTTCTTTCCTCTTGTATTCAAACTCTGATACACAGCAAGACAGGCTTTATTTTTAATTACAAATTGAGTTCCATATTTAATATCAGATATTTTTAATACTCAATATCAATGTAAACTGAAGGCCCTTTGTTTCTAATATGAAGGCTAAAAGCAGAGATGTAGTTAAACAGTAGCGAGTGGGGTTTGGGTGATTTTGGAGCTGGATTGCTGGCTGATGGACAGTCACAGGTGGATGAAATCACTCTGGATGGTGCAGCAGAGTCTGATGAGTGATCTGATGTGTGAATCATGTCGCTGTTTTAACCCTTTGTTGGAAACTGAAGGCCAAACAACAGAGCAATAATATTAGGATTTTAGGTGATTTTCTGAGTCGAATTACTCACTGATGCTGACATCACACCTCGATGACATCATGCTTGCTAGTTATGGACGGGTTGAATGTTGAATGTCCTGATATGTAGATCATGTTTTCCATCTTAAACCATTCTGAAGTTATGAAGGCTAGAACTGACCTACTGTTTTTTCTCGAGGTGGTCTCAGTTTGGTCCGTTTGGTCCGTTTGTAGTTCGTTTTGTGGTTCGATTAATGTGTGTGTTGTGAAAACAAAACAGCCCCAGTCCGCTTTAGCTTTGCTTTATGGTGAAGACCTCGAGGCTCAGTGAGTCTTCAGCACTTCAGCAGGTAAAACAGACCAAGGATCATTTATAAGGTTCTACTCAGGATAAAGTCTGAACACTGGGATCATTTATAGGGTTCTACTCAGGATAAAGTCTCAATTTGCAGTTGCTTTCACACTGAACGCTGAATGAATGAAAATTTCGCTGGGTGGAGCTCAGTGAGGAGCACAGCTGAAATGGAGCCCACCGCGGCAGACCCGCAGGACCATTTTTCTAATTTTGCGCAATGCACTTCGGCCAATCGTTTCAGCATGGCCAATAGGAGAGCAGCAGGCGGGTCTGGTGGTTCTTCTCGTCACCTGATAGCGAGTGCTGTACACACCATGAGTGCTGTGAAAGGGGTCCGAGTTCTAATGGAGCTGTGGTCTGAACAAGAAGTGGTCTGAGATCTCAAAGGACCAGAAAGAAAACCGTGACCTCTTTATAGTTTACTTACAACATGAGCACAAAAAGAACTGAGGCCATTTGCAGTTGGTTCCCTTCCAGGTTCACTTTAACAGAACTTGGTTTGGTTCTTTTAAAACGAACTATAGGTGAAAGCACTGTAAGAGACATTTGTGTCATGAGCTTCTGGAATGATCTGGATGCACTGCAGGCTGCACAGAAGTGTTTTAAATCAATTGTATTTCTGTTCTGCTGCAGTTTAACACTAATTATAATAAGTTTTGTTTGTTTTTCACAGCTGTCTGTGGTGTTTCTTCGTCAGTTTCTTATCAATATCACTTTGTGAATGAGGAGAAATCCTGGACTGAAGCTCAGAGCTACTGCAGAGAGATTCACACTGAACTGGCCACCATCAACAACATGGAGGAGATGAAGAATTTGAATGCTTCTCTGAAAGACAAAACTAGGCACGTTTGGATCGGTCTAGAAAAGGGGAACACTGGGAAATGGCTGTGGTCTCTGGCAGATGGAAATTTCCACAGTGAGGGAGACGCTCATAGAAACTGGAGCCAAGGAGAACCAAACAATAAAGGGGGCAAAGAGTTCTGTGTTGTAATGAAGAAAAGTGATGGAACATGGGCTGATGATAGCTGTGAAGAACTACACCCATTTATGTGTTATGACGGTGAGCACATACAGATACATGTTAATGAGCGACATCATCACCATGTGAAGTGGGCCTGGAAAATATGCTGATAGGCATTAATCATTTTCATCTTTCTGTGTTTGTGGCAAATGTTATTTTGTGAATTATGAAGGTGGTAATTTATATACTGAGTATTATGTAACCAAGTTTTTAATAAGGTAAATTAAATGTTTCTTAGAAAAGAAGACAAACACTGACAGATACAGATTGATTAAAGAGACAAAGACCTGGCGTGATGCTCAGAGCTACTGCAGAGAAAACTTCATAGACCTGGTCAGTGTGAGGAACCAGACTGAGAACCAGCAGGTCTACACAGCAGGACAAGCATTAACGGATGACTGTTTTTGGATTGGCCTATTCAACGACTCCTGGAAGTGGTCAGGGTGTGGTTTGTGAGAAAACCGTAAAATGTCTATGATCTTTTCATTCTTCCTTTTGTCTCCAGATAAGCTGATCTTGGTCAATCAGAATCTGACCTGGAGAGAAGCTCTGAGATACTGCAGAGATCATCATGTGGATCTGGTCTCAGTTCACTCTGAGGAGATCCAGCTCTGGGTGAAGGAGGTGGCACAGAAAGCCTCCACTGACCTTGTGTGGCTGGGTCTGCGTCACACCTGCACTCAGGGTTTCTGGTACTGGGTGAGCGGTTTTTCCATCTGCTACCAGAACTGGGCTCCAGGTAACGGGACAGGAGGAGAAGACTGCAGCTCTAGAGGAGGTCAGCAGTGGGTCAGCCTGCCTGAGGACCAGAAACTCAACTTCATCTGCACCACCTATGGAGGTTAGTTACTGTGTGTGTGTTTTACTTTGAATATGAGTTTAAAATTAATTTGAAAAACGATCATTTTCTTTCTGTTTCCAACTAAAGACTGAAACAAGATGTGGCTCCTCATCCAGACTAGCTCTCAATCCAGGATCAGCAGAGCCAGTTTTCCCACATGTATATTTGTTTTACTAAATCATACATGCTTGTTTAGGTCTAGATTTGTGTAATACATTCATTTATTTATCATATTCTAGTGTGTACATTTATTTGTTTTTCACTTAGTTTTATCACAAATATATGTTTATTCTTTTCAAATGTTTCAAACTATGTTTCAGCCTATATTGACTATGTTAAAAACTCTTTTCAAAATATGTTTAGTTTCAAGCACAACTCCACATATTTCATGAACATTTTTAATTCAGTTCTTTTGTTCCAAGTTTTTATTTTTCAAATTCATATATATTTATGCTGCCCTGCGATGGACTGGCGACCTGTCCAGGGATGTATCCTGCCTTCCGCCCAATGACAGCTGGGATTGGCTCCAGCACCCCACCGTGACCCAGAAGGATAAGCGGTTTAGAAGATGTATGTATGTATGTATGTATGTATGTATGTATGTATGTATGTATGCATATTTATGCTTGGATAATTTGCTTTGTCATTAGGCTGAATATATAATTCTGTTTCCTGTGTATCTGTTATGGTAAGGCATGTTATTTAATTTGTAATATTGAGGTATTTCGCTTGCAAATGATTTCTTTTTTCATATTGAATGTAAAAAATTCATATGTCTTCCATATTTGTCTTCATTCAATTATGTATTTTGGTAAATACATGTTCCCTAGACATATTTGTACAGAAAAATGAAAGACAATAACTAGGTGGTCTTCAAATATTTCAAATGTTTCAAACTATGCTGACTATGTTAAAACTCTTTTCAAAATATGTTCCATTTCAAGCACAACTCCACATATTTCATGAACATTTTTAATTCCATTCTTTTTTTCCAAGTTTTTGTTTTTTCAAATTCATATATTTATTTATGGATAAGTTAATTTATCATTAGGCTGAATTTATAATTCTGTTTTCTGTATATCTGTTAGGGTAAGGCATGTTATTTTATTTGTAATATTGAGGCATTTCACTTGTAAATGATTGTAATTTTTCTCAAATTAAAAGGATTCATGTGTCTTCCATATTTGTCTTCATTCAATTATATATTTAGGTAAATATTTGTTCACTAGACATATTTAGTCATAAAAATGGAATACAATTTGTCCATAAAACCTACAGACTGCTACAGTTTGGGTTGTGTTCACTTTTTATACCCTTACAAAGAATGATCGATCCTTAGGCTGATTCCCTAACTAGGCTGTCTTTAAATCTACACCTTGAATCCAGTTTTTGGTCCTAAAATTTATGGTTACTGGTAAGTATCTACTAGTGGCTGATCCTTTACATTAACAGTTCAGGCAACCACTAATAAATGCAAAAATCTAGATTCAAGGTCTGCCTCAACTGCCCTATTCTAAGAACTCAATGCAAAGATGCTATGAGCAGACAAGCCTGTATTCATGAATGGAGCTTTGTGTCTTACTCAAAGACAACCAACCCAGCCCAATTATGCAGAGCAACTCCCCCTTTAAAATGTAAACTTCAGTTAAGATTAGCCTTACAAATTAGTTGTAATGAATGTAAAGCAGAGGGAGCATGCAAGTTGGTCAGGACTCGTTTATATACAGAGTTTTCCCAATAATCAAGGTAATTGATAAGGTCAAACTTAAAGCTGGTAGATTAATCCAGCACATGATAAAAATTGCAAAAAGAGGCTACAAAGGCCAAAACCAAGACAAAGAAACCAAAAAATACAAATACTAGAGAAAACCAAGAAACATTACTACATAAACCAAGGAATTACAAGAATTTATGCTCAAGAAACTATGGAACGACATTGAGTTAGATGGCAGCAAGGATGGTCCAGGGTGGGACTAGAGCTGTAAAGGAACCATTTTGGGTGGACTGGTCCAATTGAAGGATTCTAAGAGGGGGGAACCCATGACAGTTTCACAGAGACTTGCACAACCTATACAAAGACAAATTGAAGCTGCCCTGGTGGCTATTGGTGACCCAATCCCTTAGTGTGATACACTATATTGTTTTTTCCTCTACGTTTAACCATCAGTTGGTGCAGTCTGTAGGTTTACAATTGCAGACCATAGCTGTTTTGTTGGTGCACTATTTCTCAGCTTCTAATTCGTCCATCATTGGACAAAGAGCACTGTTGGCTGGATATTTTTGGGTGTTGAAAGACACCCTGATGTGTGTAAAACACTGCCATGACCCGCACCAACCCCACACACACCATCATACCACTAGCATGGTGTTGTCACTGCTATGCTGAGAATGGCCCTTCACCCAAATTATATCTGGTTAACTCTGGTTGGCCTATCCCGGTTTACTACAAGAAAACTTTATCTTGAAATATAATAATTTAAAAATGAGTTCTTGTTACAAAATATTTGAAAACCCTAAAAGCGAAATCAATTAGCACTGGCAGGACATCGTCTGGTAAAAATGAGTGGCCTCATTGCATACGTACTTGGAGATGACCCCACAAAACACAACCACTCTGCAGCAACAATGCAAAGGCAAGTACAAAAAGAGAAGTACTATAATACATAGGCAAATGTGCATGCAGTGAAGCAAAGGCCATAAACAACCCACTATTTACCAACTACCTCGGCTGTAAAACACCTACAGTGGTGCCAGTGACTCAGCCTGCCTTTGGTGTGGGGGGCGTGTGCATTGGACCAAATTAAGGGAGACAGAGGCGACATGTTTAAAGATTTTAGGGAGTTGTGAAATGAATATCATTAAAAAAAAAAACATACATACCATACATATTATTGGTAACGTTTTTGATAACTTGGCTTTTCTTCTCTGTAAAAATATCCTTCTAATTAGAAAAACAGCCTTAATTAATAAGTACCTGAGGCTGCCGTCACAGTGTCTGTGGATGTGTATATCACAGTTTATGCAAATATTTACGTGTATGTGTGTTTATGGGTAGCCATAGAAACAAATACAGCAATAAGACTTCTGCACAAAGAGACTGAATATACTTCAGAGCACAGAGTAACAATGTTACAAGCCAGAACTAGATAGTTTCAGACCCAAATTATGTATAAATCAGTCCATCATATTGCAGTCTTACACAACACTGATACACTCATTATGTCCACTGTGGACAACTTAAAGTGTCCAGGAAAGTCACAGCCTTTAAATTAGGTATGAACACAAGTAACTGTGGAATAATTGTGGACTTCTATTAGCTGACATAACAGAGTTCGCAGTTAGTGTTCTCCTTCAAGGGTGTTGTTCAGCCTATGTTTGAGGACTTAACACTGTGTAAACCGGTATCGTGTCTTTGTAACACCCTGTCTTGCCCTGTCCTTTTCTTTCTCAGCCTTTGTTTTCATCTTCCATGTGTTTTTGATTTTTACCCCATTTTCTCCCCAATTTAATTGTCAATTCCACCTACTAGTTAGGCCTTCCCCAATCACATGATGCTACCAATGCTAGGAGGGTGAAGGCTAGCACAGGCTTCCTCCGAGACCTGTGAAGCCAGCTACAGCATCTTTTCGAACCACCGCTCACGCAACGTCATTGGACAGCTGAATGTGCTTGGAGGAAATCGCCAACCTCCAGATCTGTTATGTCAGCTAACAGACGCCTGCGCTGACTAGCATTGTGCTGAGTGATGGGGGGAGAAGAGGGGGGCCATCCAACCCACTCAGAGAGAGCAAGGCCAATTGTGCTCTCTTGGATTCCCCACTACGGATGGCTGTAGCATCACCAAGGATCGAACTCATGATCTCCTGATGATAGGGCAAATGCTTAAACAGTTGCGCCACTTGGGAGCCCCCATGTTCTTTTTGCTTTTGTGCTGTAGTTCATAGCCCCACCCCCTTACTAGTCCCAGATGTTTCTTGTTTCCCCTCAGTCTATTTATACCCTGTGTTAGCTCTCTTGGTCTTGCATTGTTGATGTTGCTCTTCGATGTTGGTGTTCTTGTTATCCCTTTGTTTGTTGTTCTGTTTTGTAGCTTTCTTTAGTCTTGTATTAAGTTTTTGAGTTATTCAGTTTGTCTTTCTTTGTGTTTAGTTTTGTTTTGCTCTATTTGCTTTCTTTCTGTTTTATTTTCCATGTGGACCTATCTACTTTACTCACCTCAGCTACTTAGTTTCTAGACTCTGTTAAATGAGATTTAAATAAAGACAACTCACACTTGCATCCTGCCTCAACACCCACATCATTACAGAATGCAAGACCTTTAAACATGGATGCAGTGAGTTCGCATGCTTCCAAGCTGCAAGAAGGATACCAGCTGTTTCAACAGCATAAATCTGCACTACCAAGTGGGCTATTGGACGCTACATTATTGGCTGATGTTGATGCCCTTCTCACTGTTACTGATGGTGCTTTGATCACAATGGAATTTGGCCTCTTCCCACCACTGGAAATGCCACAGAAAGCATTGTGGACAAACACATCTTCCCACAGTAGAAGAGGATAGTTCCACTCCTGAGGAGAAGATTTTTTTAGGGGGCTGTTGGACTCAAATCTCTGAATTGTGGGTCGGCTTAGCCATAACAGTCTTCAGGCTAAGACGGACTACAACACAGAGGACATTATTAACTTTTTTATATACAGCCCCTCTGGCACCACCCAGTGCTCTGGAGAGCACCAGTGGGCAAGTGCCTGTTGCAGCAGGTCCGCCTGCCATCAAGGACATCGTAGCAGGCCTGCCTGCCTCCATGTATGCCAGTGCAGCCCAGTCTGCACCTGAGAACACTGGTGCCTTCCAGTCTGAGTCTGCTCCCAGTGCAGCATCCCTTGACAAGCTGGCCTCTGAGTTCCCTGGCCAGCCAGCCTCTGAGTCCCCTGCCCTACTGGCCTCCATGTCTCCTGACCTGCCGGCTACCCTGTCTTCTGAAGAACCAGCTATTCTTGTCCTCTGGCCCATGTTTTTGTTTATGTCCATGGGATTGCCTAATGCTTTGGTGAACACCAGCACTCCAGCACCAGCCTCCCAGTGTCCTGCTCCAGCACCAGCCTCCCACCGCATTCCATTGCCTGCTCCATGCCTTTTCAGTTTGCAGCTCAGCCAGCTGCCCAGCATTTCCAATGTCCATAGCTTACAGCTTTTATTTCAAAATTTTTATTTCAAAAACATAAAAAATAAATGTTAACCTTAAGGTCAAAACCACTTATTTGAAGGATTTTTTTCCCTTTTCCACTTAAATATTTTTGAAGTGATTTTATGCAGCTCACTAAACTTCATGACAGGATATGTAAGGGAAAACTGTAAGGGAATATATAATTCAAGCTACATTTGAATGTAGCCATGCTAGAAAGAGCATTCTCTACTGACTTCATGAGACTCCCTTTTGCTTTATGCAAATTATTACTGCCA